AAGACACCTGCAAGCTACGGGAATTAAAGCTGAATGCTAGGCAAACAGATAAATATGCAGTTTTAATTAAATACGTGCAAACTATCATACCCGACAAAAGATATATAATTCTGTTGAACCAGGTCAGCAGCTGGGACAACCAGATTGGTGACCTGAATGTCCTCTACTACAGTTAAGTACTACAGTTTGGTCACCAACCTGTGGCCTTCAATCTTCTGTGCTTACCTTGATACATTACCCTAATATTTAATTTTCTGCTTATCAAAGAGCAAAAGAAGGATAATAAGTAAAAAAAGTTAACTTTTTTTTTCTCTATTTGACAAACAGTAATTCTAGAGCAAGTGTTAATTTTTCATGACACCACAATGGTCATTCTAATACAAAGCATGGAAAGTTACGTACACAAATTTAGTTTTTAGCATTTTTTATATGTGTTTTAGGACCCTGTCACATTTACAGGAGGACAGGTAAGTATTTAGATCCTTTACAGGTGCAGCACTACCCCTTAAAATGCTCTGAAGAGGGATTGCCTAAAGGCAGCAAGAGTAGGAGGTAGCTGGACAGATTGAAATAGAGAGTTCCAGAGGATGGGAGAGGCTCTGGAGATATCCTGGAGATGAGCATGGGAGGAGGAGACAAGGGAGATAGAGAGTAGGAGATCATGAGAGGACGGTTTGGGTGATATTTGGAGACAAGATTGGTGATGTAGCTCACGGCAGAGTTGTGAATGACTTTGTATGTAGTGGTTAGTATTTTTAATTTAATTCGCTGGGCAATCAGAAGCCAGTTAAGGGATTGGCAGAGAAGGGTGGCAGACACTGAGCGGTTGGCAAGGTAGATGAGTCTGGCGGCAGCATTCATGATAGACTGAAGAGGGGATTACTCTTTGAGAGGCAGGCCTATAAGAAGGGAATCCCAATAGTCAAAGCAAGAGATAGCAAGGGAGTGAATGAGCAGCTTGGTGGTTTCATTAGCTAAAAAGGGGAGAGAATTTTAGAGATGTTATGGAGGTGAAGTCTACAAGCTTTACAGTGTTTGGATTTGGGGCTGAAAGGACAGGTCAGAATCCAGGATTACACCTAATACCCTGGTGTGAGGGGAGGGATTACTAAATGTATTAATAATCTTGATGGAAAAATCATTGAGGAGGGCATGAGCCGGGGGGGGGGGGGGGGGGGAATATTATCAGAGATTTAGTTTAACCACTTCAAGTCTGGACACTTTCACCCCCTTCCTGTCCAGGCCAATTTTCAGCTTTCATTGAATGACAATTGCGCAGTAATGCAACACTCTACCCATATGAATTTCTTAGAATTTTTTTGAGACAGATAAAACTTTATTTTGGTGGTATTTATTCAACACTTGGATTTTTATTTTTTTGCTATATAAATGAAAAAGTCCAAACATTTTGAAAAAAAGTGTTTTTCCTATAAAATTTAGCAAAAAAAATAATCTTTCTTCATAAATATTGGCCAAAATGTATTCAGCTACCTTTTTTAGTAAAAAAAAAAAATAAGTTAGTTTATAACCAAAAATTCTAATTTAAAAAAAAATGTTTACATTTTTATTTTTTTTATATTATTCATGTTTTTTTTAACATACTGGCACCCCTAGCAGTACAGTGTCACCATAGTGACACTGTACTACTTGTGGGGAGTGATGAAGATTTTTTTTTTTACACTGATTGGTTTTACATCCATAAAAGGCTTCAAAAGCAATAATTTCTCCTTCTTTCTGGCTGCATTCTTACAGCCATTGAGAAATACTGTGAAAGCTGTGTTTGGTCACAGCTTGTCACATGGTACAAGGCTGTTGTGAATAGCCTTGTACCATGTGACCTCTGTGATCATTCACAGATTTCACTAGTAGTAAGCAATGATGTCAGGAAGTGACATCTTGCTTACTACTTATCATGTGATCACTGATTGACCAATCAGCGATCACCTGATTGAAACCTCACACAGAGGTCCCATACAGCACGCAAGGCAGAGGTCCCAGGGAGCGCACACAGGTAGGGAATTTGGGAGGATGTTTATAAACGACCACCCGCTCCTGCACTGCTCCCATCTGGCCGTTTATGTACATGGGTCAGACATGAAATGGTTAAGGAAGTGGTGCGACATCCATGCTGATATGTCAGTTAGTAAGTTAGTAATGTGAGAGGAGACTGAAGAAGTGAGGTGAGGAGTAGAGAGATAGATTGGGGTGTCATCGGCGTAGAGGTATTATTGGAAGCTGTGGGAGGTTATCAAGTGACCAAGAGAGGAGGTGTAGATACAAAATAAGAGAAGGGAACAAGGAACAGAGTTTTGGGGGACCCCTACAGAAAGAGGAGGTTGAGAGGTGGAAACAAAGTTATAGGTAACACTGAAGGAATGCTGCGATAGGTAGGAGGAGAACCAGAATAGAGCAGAATCTTGGAGGCCAAGGCAGTGGAGTTTATTGAGGAGCTTCTTCCAGAGGTCTTGTAGTAGAGGTCTTGGGCAGCACAGTGGCTAAATGGTTAGCACTTCTGCCTGGCAGTACTATGGTCGTTGGTTCAAATCCCAGCCACGGCACCACCTGTCTGGAGTTTGCATGTTCTCCCTGTGACTGTGTGTATTTCCTCCGGGTACTCCGGTTTCCTCTCACACTCCAAAGAGATGCTGGTAGGTTAATTAGGTAGGTTGGTTAGTTAGGCTCCTGTCTAAATTGGCCCTAGTATGTGTATGTATGAATGTGAGTTAGGGACCTTAGATTGTACACACCTTGAGGATTAGGGACTGATGTGAATGTACAATATGTGTATGTAAAGTGCTGCGTAAATTGACAGCGCTATATAAGTACCTGAAATAAATAAATAGAAGTATGGAATAGTGGCCACTGCTTTTGGCAGTTAGTAAATCCTTAGTGAGTTTTCGTTGGGCAGTTTCTGGGGATTGCTACAAGTGAAAGCCAGGCTATATGGGGTCAAGAAGGTTGTTTTTAGTGAGGTAGGAGCTAAGACGAATGTAGACTAAGCGTTCTAAAAGTTTAGAGGTCAATGGGGGAGCAACGAGATGGCTCTAAAGTTGTTCAAGTTGGTGGGGTCCAGTGAGGGATTTTTAAATATAGTAGTGATCTGTGAATGCTTTACAGGGGAAGGTGCCAGTACAGAGGGAGAGATTGAAGAGGGAGAAAAAAAGTTTTGGCTCTAGATATACTTTAACTTACTCATGACTAATTATACACCTCAGAAAGTAACTATATCCTAACAAATAAATACAATGCTCCTTTTAACCAACAACATTGGCATCTCCTCTGTTTCCTTTGCAGTTAAAAACCTCTACCGAGCTCCAAAGTACATTTACCACAGAATGTCACATGTATTGTGTGAGAGATCAATAACCTCACTAATAGCCTTAGGATATATAAAAGAGCACAAAGTAAAATAAATAAATGTATGTAGCGAAAAAAAAGGTTTATTGAAAAAATGGATAACTTGGAACACCAGCATAAATAGCTTTGGCGATTTCTACAGAGGTTTTATTAAATGCGGTACAGACCGGCATTCAAGTACTTATACAATAAGGGGGATATATTATTTTGTTATTATGTTACAAAGCTGACTACAATTCATGAATCATCCTTAACAATTCAGGCCAAAGTAAAAAGAGAAGAGCACTTTATCTATTCAACTATAAAACTTTTTTTGTGTGTGTTACTATTTTTTTTTTTTTCGCTCCTGCAAATTTTCGTTATTTATACGTCTTGTAGAACAGCGTTTGCCAGAGCAGGATATGAGATTCTATAAAATAAAATGGTCAGCTAGCAATTTAGGCTGATTAAATTAAAAGAATGATGCGCTCTTCTAGACTAGGAAATGATCTGGGCAAAAAACGCCAGAGTGTTTAAATCACTTTTACGAGCACAAGATGTTTGCAGCTAAAGAGAATTGAAGAGTGTTGTGTGAATAATTTGCACTATTGATCTGAAACACCTCACAGCTCTGGGCTCTTGAGAATATCGATACTGGTGATATACAGTATCCAAATAAGTAGAAAGTGTCTCTTTCTCCTAAAAAACATTCCTAAGAAACTCTGGGCCTGATTTACTAAGGCTGTAATCTCAACCATTGTACGATAAAGCAAATTGACCTTTCTTTGGTTTATTGATAGGCAACATGATGCACACATGGAAGACTACGGGTACATTAATTCACTAACGTTGATCAATAAAGTTGATTTCACATTCCTATAGTCATAACAGATGATTTGATAGCGTATACCCTCTTATGTCACATCTAAACCTGAATCTTGGGCATATACATTATAAAGGAAATGGTTTGTGGATACCTGACAATTACACCTACTGTATATGAGCTTGTTGGACTTCCAATGCTAATATCATAGGCATTACCATGGAGCTTGCCCCCTTATAATAGCCTGGTTTACTACGGCTCAGTGGCGGGCTGTGCATTTCACACCTAGGACTTCAGTGATGTTCTACCTGAATTAACCTCCTTGGCGGTATGATTCTTTCCGATTTTTTGTGCTGAAAGGGGTACCACTTTTTTGCATGGAAATATGTATTTTTTTTTATTGTAGGCTGTAATTTTTAGGAATAACTCACTGAAATCTGTACGAACAAGAGTCTAGTAAACATCCCGGGTATGATAAAATTTGAAACACGAAATCATAAATTATAATTTAATAAATAATCATAAAAAATAATAATATAATAATAATAAATTTAGTTCAATAATATAATCAAACCAAAAAAAACACTGAAATTTGAAATACAGAGGCAAATTCGCACATCGCTGAGCAAAGTCGCAAAATCGTTTTCAGTGTCTGATGACAAATTTCCCCCACGAATCATTATCACTCAATTCTGCAAGTGCTTCTGATTTACTATCGCTGCTCTAAAACCGCTTTTGACGTAAAGGGACGCTTTTTGGACGCCATGGACTTTTCTCAGTTTCCAGGCAGAAAGAACATTCAAAATGCAGGCAGGGCACAGGACAAAGCAGTAGGGACAAAATATATGTGAAATGCATTGAAACAGCAATGGACAGCAAAAATGACATTTTTTAAAAATTTCAAATTTCCTGCCGGTTCCGGCGCCCGTACGTCCCGACATCACAGGGACCGCAACACAGAAGCCGGATGCCGGCATCGGCCAGAGGAGATGGCCGGGGGCGCTGCAGGGGACACATCGCTGGGGAGCGAAGGACAAGGTAAGTGCTGCAGGGACCCCCTGAGCAACGCCGCATGGTAAGCCCGAGTGTAGCTCGAGGTTACGGCTTTTGGTATAGAAATTTTACCCGAGCTACACTCAGGAATACCACTAGGGAGGTTAATGCAGCAATTTTTGGCTGTTACCTTACAAATTCAACATGAAAAAACCAGAGACATGGAAAAAGTGAGGCCTGGATTAGCCAGGGCTGAATGTATAAAAAAAAATGTAAATAAAATGCATTATACTCACCAAAACTACTGATTATCTGTACACAAAATCCTTCCTCCTTTCTTTCCCCAAGAAGAGTTCAATTACTCTTTAATTATGGGTTATCTGTGCATTTCAGATCCAACAATAATTTATTTTCTATCGCCATGGAGGTTAATGCTGAAAGTCAAGTCTGTCTAATCGTATTTCTGGCATAAGTTATTGTAGGCCTGCTAGATGGCTCCGATGTCGCCAGCTCAAAGTCTGATTGGCTCAGTGGCAGAACTAGAACCTTTAGGACGCTGGTGCAAGGAACAATAAAGGGCCCTTCTGACCCTCAGTGGGGCCCTTTCCTCCAACCATAGCCCAGTCGCAAGTGCGATCTTTGTGACCCTGGTAGTTCTGCCACTGGTGTCAGTAGTTTTTTTTTTTTTGTTATTTTATTTTTTTTAAATATTTTTTAAATAATTTTTACAATTTGTTTTTAACAGACCCATTGAGGGGCTTTAGTGAAAAAAACCAGGAGTTCTAAACTGACCTCTGATGTTCCACCTTTGAGACAGAGAAAGGAGATTGAGGGCTGCGTCCTCAATCTCCTTCTCTGCATCCTCAGAAGAACAGAATGAATGGGCAGGAATAGCTCTATACAGAACTTCCTGTCCATTCAAAAACTGAAGAATAGTAAACACAGTTACGGATATCTGACTCTCTATTCAGATAAGGAAGGGACTGGTAAATGAAACATTTAACATCCCCCGCAGCAGCTGAGGAGAGGGGAAGAGGGGCCAGGAAAGAGCATGGGGCCCTGAGAGCACAATGGCAGAGAGCATAGGAGCCAGAGAGCGGCGGGGGGGGGGGGACGAGGAGCACAGGGGGAGCTGAAGAGCATGGGGGCAGCAGTGAGAAGCTGGATAGGAGGAGTGGCAGGGACAGCTGCAAACAGAGGAATCAATCTATCCATGTTCCTCCTGCAGCCTCTGAATGCCTGCGGGAGGGAGATGAGGAGAAGTCGGCATTCAGCAGCTGCAGGAAGAACATTGAGCAATTGGTTCCTCTGTATGCAGCCGTCCCTACTGCTCCTCTTATCCAGGCATACAGGGGGCAGAACAGGCCCCCTGCAGAATGGGGTTAGGTCACAACTGAAATTTCTGTAGGTACACCCCTGGATTGGGTAAAGGAACATTTTCACTGCTGTTTACTGTAAGCTAAAGGAGACAGTACTGTTGATTCTGAAGGCCTCAAGGCAGATTTATTTAACCTTGGCAACACATGATGGCTATCATGGCTGAAATATGCTTGGATAACACCTCTAACATAAACACACACTACTGGAAGCAGTGCAACCAAGAGAAAAGCAATGAAATGAAAAGAATAAACTATTGAGACTAATATAATACACATTCATGGTAAAAAAAATATATTAACCTCCCTGGCGGTATTCCCGAGTGTAGCTCGGGGTAAAGTTTCAGTACCAAAAGCGATAACCCTGAGCTACACTCGGGCTTACCATGCGGCATTGCATAGGGATTCACTGCAGCACTTACCTTGTCCTTCGCTCCCGCAATGCGTCCCCTGCAGCGTCCCCGGCCATCTCCTCCGGCCGATGCCGGCATCCGGCTTCCGTGTTCCGGTCCCTGTGACGTCTGAACCGGCGGCAAATTTTAAATTTTTAAAAAATTCAATTTTTTTAAAAATGATTATTATATAGTAAAACATTGCTGTTTTAAAGCATTTCACATACATTTTGTCCCTACTGCTTTGTCCTGTGCCCTGCCTGCATTTTGAATGTTCTTTCTGCCTGAAACTTAGAAAAGTCCATGGCGTCCAAAAAGCGTCCCTTTAGGTCAAAAGCAGTTTTAGACCAGCTAGAGAACAGTGATAGTAAATCAGAACCACTTGCAGAATTGAGTGATAATGATTCGTGGAGAAATTCATCATCAGACACTGAAAACGATTCTGTGACTTTGCTCAGCGATGTGCGAACTTGGCGCTATATTTCAAATTTCAGTGTTTTTGGTTTGATTATATTATTGAATTAAATTTATTATTATATTGTTATTTTTTTATGATTATTTATTAAATTATAATTTATGATTTCGTGTTTCAAGTTTTATCATACCCGGGATGTTTACTAGACTCTTTCGGACAGATTTCAGTGAGTTATTCCTAAATTACAGCCTACAATAAAAAACTACATATTTCCATGCAAAATAATGGTACCGCTTTCAGCACCAAAAATCTGAAATAATCATACCGCCAGGGAGGTTAAAACGTAAGTCAGTGATTTTGATAGGCAGACATGTTTAGGCAGGGTTTAGGCCAGCGGAGAAGGCCTTGATGGCCCTGATGGCCCACCACCGGTAAGGCTATAATCTCAACCATTGTGCAATACAGCAAATAAACCTTACTTTGCTTTACTGATAGCCAACATGATGCACACAAGGAAGAGTATGGGTATGTGAATTAACTAAAGTTGATCAATACATTTGACTGCACATTCAAGTCAGGCCAAGTATATGCCTTCTTATGTCATAATTAAACCTGAACTCAGAGCACATACACTGTGTAGGAAATGGTTTGTGGACATCTGACCATCACACTAATATGAGCTTGTTGTAATGTCCAGTCTATAATTATAGGTGAATTATAGGTGTTGATATGGAGCTTGACCCCCTTAGTGGCTCCTATATATTATTTTAATAAGTCTGTAATCTCAACCATTGTACAATAAAGCAAAGAAACCTTACTTTGGCTTTCCGATAGCCAACATGATGCACACATACTATGGGTACAAGAATTCACTAAAGTTGATCAATAAAGTTGATTGCACCTTCCTAAAGTCATAACAGCCAATTTCCAAGTGTATGCCTTCTTATATAATTTTTTTTATATTGTACATTTTTATTAAGGGCTGAAGCCCAATTTTTGAAAACAGTACACATATTCAACAGGAATACAATCTGTATATAAGACAGGGAAAGAATAAAACAGTACAATGATCGAAGGCTATCATCAATACAAAAGGAAAGAGAAAACAACAAAGAAAAAGCAACATAGAGAAAGACACAATCATATATGAACAGCATGGGATTCAAGAAACATAACGACATAAGTCGTTATAAGCTGACATATCGTGAAACAAAGAAACAGAAACAATAATCGAAGGCAGATCAGAAACAACATTAGATGCAGGTCATGTAGGAGAGGATGTGGAGGTAGGGGACAGACAGAACCTGCCAAAGGGGGAGTGGTCCCAAGCCCCCCAGATAGAATGGAAGTTACAAGATTGTTTCTCCTACCAGAGTCGTAAGGTATTCCATATTCTGGAATACGGAATACCCCCCTCATCTCTCCCCTCCTCTGAAACGGCACTGCCCCCCACCACACCCAAGGCCCTGCCTACCGTAACCCCCCCATCACTGCACTCCTTCAGCCCTACTACCACTGAGGAAGTCAGCAGAGTCTTCTCAGAAGCCCGTCTCACTACCTGCCCCCTGGACCCTATCCCCTCTCAACTCCTCCGGTCACCCCCCTCTTCCCTCATCCGCTCCCTTACCCACATCTTTAATCTCTCCCTCTCTACTGGCGTATTCCCCTCCCCCCCTAAAACATGCGCACATCACCCCCATACTCAAATCTCTGGACCCCACTGACCTCAACAACCTCAGACCAATTTCCCTGCTGCCACTCACTTCCAAGCTCCTTGAGCGCTTGGTCTTCGATCGCCTAAGCGCCCACCTAGATGACAACAACCTCCTTGACCCACTACAGTCCGGCTTCCGTCCCCTACACTCCACCGAAACTGCCCTCCTCAAAATCACCAACGATCTACTAACCGCCAAAGCCAAAGGCGACTACTCTGTCCTCCTCCTCCTAGACCTCTCTGCGGCCTTTGACACAGTCGACCACCCCCTCCTCCTTAATAAACTACTCTCCCTTGACATCAGAGACACCGCTCTCTCCTGGTTCTCGTCCTATCTATCCCAACGCTCCTTCAGTGTCACCTACAATGGTGCCACCTCCCCTTCTCTCCCCCTCTCTGTTTGGGGTCCCCCAGGGCTCTGTCCTTGGACCCCTTCTCTTCTCCATCTACACCTCCTCCCTTGGCAAACTCATACACTCCCACGGCTTCAATTACCACCTCTATGCTGATGATACTCAAATCTACCTATCCACCCCTCACCTCACCCCCTCTCATTTCTCCGCCCGCATCACTCACTCACCTCCTAAACGACATCTCTGACTGGATGTCGCTCAATTTCCTCAAACTCAACCTCTCCAAAACCGAGCTTCTCATCTTCCCCCCAGCCCGCCCCCCCCCCCCCCATCCTTTCCATCACTACCAACAACACCACCATCAATCCCGCCCAGCAAGCCAAGGTCCTTGGCGTCATTCTGGACTCAAACCTTTCCTTTCAACCTCATATCAAATCTCTCACAAACACATGCAGGCTCCACCTCCGGAACATCGCCAGGATACGTTCCTTCCTTACCCCAGACACCACTAAACTACTAGTACACTCCCTGATTATCTCACGCCTGGACTACTGCAACTCCCTCCTCACCGGCCTACCCCAGTGCAGGCTCTCCCCGCTTCAGACCATCCTGAACTCAGCGGCCAGACTCATCCACCTCACCAGCGCTCCACCTCTGCCACCCCCCTCTGCCTCTCCCTCCACTGGCTCCCCATTGCCCAACGCATTAAATTCAAATTGCTCACCCTGACCTATAAGGCCATTCACAACACTGCCCCTAACTACCTCACCGATCTGATCCCCAGGTACCACCCTACCCGTACCCTTCGCTCTTCACAGGACCTTCTTCTATCCTCCCTGGTCTCCTCCTCCCACGCACGACTGCAAGACTTCTCCAGGTCCTCCCCCATCCTCTGGAACTCACTACCCCAATCCATCAGACTGTCACCGTCCCTCCTCACCTTCAGGCGCTCCCTGAAAACCCACCTCTTCAGGGAAGCCTACCCCACCCTCACCTAACAGCCGCTGCCCTTCCCTCCTCCTACCACTTCATCCCCCACAGCCGCTTCCTCCGGTGCCTCTACCCCCTCCCTCCTAGATTGTAAGCTCGAAAGAGTATCTAACCCCTTGTGTACTGTTTGATGTTACTGTTCTGTTTCATGTATTGTCCCCCCCCATTGTACAGCGCTGAGCAAACCCTTTGGCGCTATATAAACACGATAAATAAATAAATAAATAAATAAATTCTGTATTTCAGAAATTGCTCTGATAAGATGGTTCTGGGAAGGTGTCTATGTCGATTTCCAAAAACACGGTATTACCCTTCTAGCAGCCGTCAAAATATGTAAACCCAATTATTTAGATGGTTTGGGAATACCCTTAAAGGGCAAGCCTAAGAGGTAGTGTAGTAGATCTAGGGGGAGGGCAACGTTGAGTACCTGCTCCAAAACTTTTTGAACGTGTTCCAGTATCCCACAATCCGTGGGCAAAATCAGTAGATATGAGACAAAGTACCCACGCCCTCCACACATCTCCAGCATGTAGCAGATAAGTTAGGGCTAATGACATGTAGCAATATGTGAATTTTATACCAGTGCATCAACACCTTGTAAATGTTTTCTTTGTAAATAACACAGCGAGAGGATTTAGCAGCAGAACCCCATATCGCCTGCCAGCATTTTAAAGGGATGGAACAGCTAAGTTTCTTTTCCCAGCTTCTCATGTAGCGGTGTGGGGTTTCAATCACAGAGGTCTTATCAAGAAGCAATTTATACAGAGAAGTGATTTAATGCTGCTGGGTAGGGCTTTTATTAACTATCCTCTCAAAAGCGGTAAGGCGTTCTAAGGTCAAATGTGAGCTAAGTGAGCTGAAAAAAAAAAAATGACGGAATTGCAAATGGGTGTATCTGGCTATTATGGGTATTGCGGCTTTCCAGGTTCTAAGCTCTTCAAATGATCGAATCCTGCATGAAACAGGGTTGATCAGATGGCGTATTTGAAATATACCACAAACCGCCCAGGGGTACATGCGTGGGAGAGACAAACTATCTGGAATCTCCGGGTTATATAATATATTCAACAGTGGGGAGCATACAGATAGCAATTGGTGTGTCTTCACACAGGTTGACCAAATCTTGAGAGTGAATCTCATGGAATCCAGCAATTGAGGAACCGGGTGGGGAGACGTTTTGTATTGATAGGGACGTAACAGCAAGCAAGGATGTATCGGGAGAATGTAAGTTCAATCTCCGTCCACCTAGTATGGGGTTTCTGGGCAAACCATGACAGTGTGTGTCTTAAATGGGTAGCTAAATAATAGTTGGTAATGTACTGGGCAGCACAGTGGCTAAATTGTTAGCACTTCCGCCTGGCAGCACTAGGGTTGTTGGTTTATATCCCAACCACGACACCACCTGCCTGGAGTTTGCATGTTCTCCCTGTGCCTGCGTGGGTTTCCTCTGGGTACTCCGGTTATCTCCCACACTCCAAAGACATGCTGGTAGGTTAATTGGATCCTGTCTAAATTGTCCCTAGTATGTGTATGTATGAATGTGAGTTAGGGACCTTAGATTGTACGCCCCTTGAGGGTTAGGGACTGATGTGAATGTACAATATATATGTAAAGCGCTGTGTAAATTGACGGTGCTATATAAGTACCTGAATAATAAAATAATAAAATAATGCCTGGAGCACCCAAACCCCCAGAGGGTCAAGGGCAAAAAAGTACTAACCAAACTATCCTATGTTTTTACCATGCCAAATGAACTGAAAAAACGCTTGTTGTAAGGCCTGCAAATGAGCATGGGGGGACCACAACTGGTAAGGTTTCAAAGAAATAAAGTAGCTTCAGGAGAACAGTCATTTTTAAAACATTAATTCTACCTAGGAAAGATATCTTATGCAAATCCCATTGGTGTAGAAGAGTATAAATCTCCCGGAACAGTGGGAGATAGATAGCTGCAAATAATTTGGCATAGGTTGAGGTAATACGGATACCTAAATACTTAATAGCGGAATCACACCAATGAAATGGGTAATTGTGTTGTAGTGAATCCAAATCACAAGGTAATACATTTATGGGCAGGGCTTCAGTCTTTGAGGTGTTAATCTTATAATCCGAGAGGTCACCAAAAGACTGCAGCAATTAATATAGAGGGGGTAAAGACAGATGGGGTCTGGTTATAGTCAAGAGAACATCGTCCACGAAAAGAGAGAGTTTATATTCCCTTCCCTTCACATCTACCCCCGTTATGTCGGGGTGTGCCCTGATTGCCACCACCAACGGCTCAAAACATAGGACAAATAGCAGTGTGGACAGGGAACACACCCTGCCTGGTACCATTGAACATAGGGAAAGTAGCGGAAATGGTGTATGGGAGTTTAACTTGAGCAGTTGGATTGGAATATAATGTTTTGATAGCATTAAAAAAAGGCCCTTGAACTCAAACATATCTTAACCCCTTCACGCCGGCTGCACGCAAATGTGCGGCCTCCCGGCGTCTGGGCCTAGACGCGGAGCGGCCCGCACATTTGCGTTCATGTAACAAAAAACATATGTGCTGAGAGCGCGCGCCCTGTGCGCTCCCAGCACACATGTGTGGTACTCACAGAAAGGTCCAGATCCACTCTTTCGATCGGGACTTTTCCCGATCATGTGACCGGCTGTGACAACATCACGGCGGCCACATGACACTTAGCCCCGCCCCATCCCACCCACCTCCCAGCGCAGGAACTCCTCTTCACGCGATCCGGCGTGAAGGGTTTAATAACTCAAATATATAAGGCCATCCCAAGCAGTCAAATGCCTTTTGGGCATCTAAGCTCAAGAGTAGCACCGGCGTCCGTGTGCTCTGGAAAACATCTATCAGGTCAGTTTTGCGCCGTATATATTGTCACCCACCTGTCTTGACAAAACAAAACCCACCTTATTAGTATGAAAAAGTTTAGGCAACAGGGAGGCTAAACGATTTGCTAAGATTTTAGTAAAAATTTTGTAATCTGTGTTTAACCTCCTCGGCGGTATGATTCTTTCCGATTTTTTGTGCTGAAAGCGGTACCATTTTTTTGCATGGAAATATGTAGTTTTTTATTGTAGGCTGTAATTTTTAGGAATAACTCACTGAAATCTGTCCGAACAAGAGTCTATTAAACATCCGGGTAGGATAAAATTTGAAACACGAAATCATAAATTATAATTTAATAAATAATCATAAAAAATAATAATATAATAATAATAAATTCGCACATTGCTGAGCAAAGTCTCAAAATCGTTTTCAGTGTCTGATGACGAATTTCCCCACAAATCATTATCACTCAATTCTGCAAGTGGTTCTGATTTACTATCGCTGTTTCTAAAACCGCTTTTGACGTAAAGGGACGCTTTTTTGACGCCATGACTTTTCTAAGTTTCCAGGCAGAAAGAACAGTCAAAATGCAGGCAGGGCACAGGACAAAGCAGTAGGGACAAAATATATGTGAAATGCATTGAAACAGCAATGACAGCAAAAATTACATTTTTTAAAAATTTTAAATTTCCCGCCGGTTCCGGCGCCCGTACGTCCCGACGTCGCAGGGACCGGAACATGGAAGCCGGATGCCGGCATCGGCCGGAGGAGATGGACGGGGACACTGCAGGGGACACATCACGGGAGTGAAGGACAAGGTAAGTGCTGCAGGGACCCCCGGAGAACGCCACATGGTAAGCCCGAGTGTAGCTCGGGGTTACCGCTCTTGGTACTGAAATTTTACCCCGAGCTACACTCGGGAAAACCGCTAAGGGGGTTAAGAGAGCAATGGGTCTATAGTTGGCAGGGGATGTGAGATTTTTCCCACGTTTGGGAATGACCGTAATGTAGGCATGCTGAAATTGCAGATGAGGCACATCCCCCTGTAGCAAAGAGGAATAGAAGTCCAACAGATGGGGACCTAAGTCTGCAAGAAAATGTTTATAGTAGGCATAAGAAAAGTCATCTGGACCAGGTGATTCATGGGACGATAAGTCTGTAACGATAGCTAATAATTCCTCGGCAGTAATGGGTGCATTTAAAAATAATTTGTCTGCACTAATCAGCTTGGGAAGCAGAAGGGCGGAGACAAAACTGTCAAAGGAATCCCTACAAAGGGGGGGGGGAGCCCGAAGTTACACAGTTTTAAAGTTTGCGATAATATTCTCCAAATACATATACCATTTGTTGCAGACAAAAGGTGGGTGTACCATCTGCCTGAAAAAGGAATTCAGGAGCAGTGGGTGTCGATTGAGCCTTCAATTTGTTAACTAACATCCTGTGGGGCTTATTAGCATAGTGATAGAACTTTTGCTTCATCCAAAGCAATTGTTGGGTAGCAAAATTTGTCTCAAGTGCTTTAAGTTGATCTTTGAGATGGACCACCTCTCAAAGTTTCGAGACGGTGGGTGAGTCTATAAGCCGTTTTTCCTCATGGAGCAGTTGGGACACAAGAGCAGCTTTCTGATGGAGTTTGGACTTTTTAAGTCAAGAACCCTCCATGATGAAACGGCCTCTAATGAAGGCCTTGTGGGCCTCCCAAAGTGTGGATGGAGAAGACACTGAATCAACATTTAGGTCGAAAAATTAATGTAAAAGGGTGTCATTTAAGCACTAATGACATGTGCGGGCATGTGGTTGATTCAGGAGTAAATCTAGTATCAGAAAGGAGTGATCCAACCAAAAGTTGGGGACTATATCAGCATTAACTGTTTGTTTAACCTCCCTAGCGGTATGATTATGTCAGTATTTCTGTGCTCAAAGCGGTACATTATTTTCAATGGAAATACCGTATTTTCCGGCGTATAAGACGACTGGGTGTATAAGACGACCCCCTACTTCTCCTGTTAAAATGTAGTGTTTGGGCTATACTCGCCGTATAAGACTACCCCTCTTCCAATGCACACCAGTAGGAAGAATCGTGCCCCATCATTGGTGTCAGTGGGGGGAATAGTGCCCCATCATTGGTGTCAGTGGGAGGAATAGTGCCCCATCATTGGTATTAGTGGGAGGAATAGTGCCCCATCATTGGTGTCAGTGGGAGGAATAGCACCCCATCTTTGGTGTCAGTGGGAGGAATAGTGCCCCATCATTGGTGTCAGTGGGAGGAATAGCGCCCCATCATTGATCCTAGATTGTAAGCTCCAAAGAGCAGGGCCCTCAATCCCCTCATGTTTTGCATTGTATTGGTATTGTTCTGTCACATGTTCTGTCCCCCTTTGTAATGTACAGTGCTGAGTGAACTATTGGTGCTTTATAAATACTGTATAATAATAATAATAATATCATTGGTGTCAGTGGGAGGAATCGTGCCCCATCATTGGTATCAGTGGCAGGAATAGTGCCCCAGCATTAGTATCAGTGGGGGGAATAGCACCCCATCATTGGTGTCAGTGGAATAGTGCCCCATCTTTGGTGTCAGTGGGAGGAATAGTGTCCCATCATTGGTGTCAGTGGGAGGAATAGTATCCCATCATTGGTGTCGGGGGGGGGGAATAGTGCCCCATCATTGGTGTCAGTGGGGGGTGGAATAGTGCCCCATCATTGGTGTCAGTGGGGGGTGGAATAGTGCCCCATCATTGGTGTCAGTGGGGGGAATAGTGCCCCATCGTTGGTGTGTGGTGGGGGGTGGAATAGTGCTCCATGATTGGTGTCAGTGGGGGGTGGAATAGTGCCCCATCATTGGTGTCAGTGGGGGGGGGGGAATAGTGCCCAATTGTTGGTGTCAGTTGGGGGGGGAGAAAAGTGCCCCATCGTTGGTGTCAGTGGGAGGAATAATGCCCCATCATTGGTATCAGTGACACCAATGATGGGGCACTATTCCTCCCACTGACACTTGCTGACCCCTGTTCCAGTATGGTGCTGCTGCAGCCAGCATATGTGGTTGCAGCAGCACCTAAGCACGGCACACTTACCTGCATCTCCTTCACTCGATTTTCGCGGGGCCGCTCAGCTCCGCCTCCTCGCCGGTGATTGGCCGCCTGTGTGCCTTTCCTGAGCTACAGTTCTGGCGGCCAATCACCGGTGAGGAGGCGGAGCCAAGCAGCCCCGCGAACATCCAGTGGACGAACTGAATGAAGGAGCAGCCGCGCTTCCTGGACCGGATCGTCGTGGGACCGGAGCCAGGTAAGAGACAGCAGCCCCTGCCCACCCTTGTACTTAGTTTCCCTTCTGTTGGAAGGGGGGGGGGTGTGGCGGCGCGGCCCCCCTAAAAAGTGTCAGCATGCCGTTACCGGCGTATAAGACGACCCCCGACTTTTGAGAAGGTTTTCAAGGGGTAAAAAGTCGTCTTATACGCCGGACAATGAGGGAAAGTTTTTTTTTATTGTAGGCCTGTAATTCTTAGGAATAACTCACTGAAATCTGCCGAACAATAGTCTAGTAAACATCCCAGGTTTGATAAAATTTGAAACACAAAATCATAAATTATAATAAAGAATCATAAAAATATTAATATAATAATAAATTTAATTCAATAATGTAATCGAACCAAAAACACTGAGCTTAGTCGCAAAATCGTTTTCAGTGTCTGATGATGAATTTCCCCCACGAATCATTATCACTCAATTCTGCAAGTGGTTCTGATTTACTATCTCTGTTCTCTAGCCGGTCTAAAACCGCTTTTGACCTAAAGGGACACTTTTTGGATGCCATGGACTTTTCTCAGTTTCCAGGCAGAAAGAACAGTAAAAATGCAGGCAGGGCGCCGGACAAAGCACTCGGGACAAAATGTATGTGAAATGGTTTGATATATAGTAATGTAATACTATCAGATTTTAGTGTATTGAGTATTTTTTAATTTTTTAAATTCCTGCCGGTTCCACCCCCCGTACGTACCAATGTTTGCAGGGAACGGAACCCGTAAAACGGATGCCGGCATCGGCATGGACACAGTTAGTCTGGCCCCTTAGTTGCGACCAGTCTTGCTTGAGTGGCCCTACTAGCAGCAATGCTGCCGCCAGCATAGCTCTCAACATCATTGAAGCACACAAACCCTTCCGCCTCGCTAAGGCCTGTGTCCATGCTAATGCTGCCTGCAAGGAAAGAAAGAATCTGCGCTGCACTAAAGTTCATAAAATTGCAACATGGAATGTTCGTGGAATGTGTCAAAGAAAATTGGAAATTGTCAAACAAGAAATGGCAAGATTAAACATAGATTTACTTGGATTTACTTGTAAATTGCATTGGAAAGATGATGGCTATTTCCAGTCAGATAACTTTTCAGTGTGTTATTCGGGTAATCAAGAAATTAGAAGAAATGGCGTAGCTTTCATAGCTCAGAAAACATTGCTCCTGCAATTGAAAGTTACACCATCATTAGTGATCGCATAATGGCCATTCGTTTACGTGGGAAACCATTAAATATCACAGTTTTACAAATATATGCGCCAACAACAGATGCTCCAGAAGATGAAATTGAGCTTTTTTACACCAAACTCGATTTAGCATTAAAACAGGTACTAAAAAAGGATATTATTTACGTCATGGGCGATTTTAATGCAAAAGTTGTCAGCCAGAAGGAGATGAATATTGTTGGAAGGCTTGGACTGGGTGAAAGAAATGAAGCTGGTGACCGTTTGATTCAATTCTGTAGTGAAAACTGTTTTTGGATCGCAAATACTGCGTTCGTGCAGCCTAAACATCGACTGTATACATGGACATCACCAAATGGACAACATCGCAATCAGATTGACTATATACTCTGCAACCAACATTGGAAAAGTTCAATCCAAGCCATAAAAATATTCCCTGGCGCTGATTGTGGTTCTGACCATGAACTACTTGTTGCAACCACCAAAGTGAAATTCTGTAACACCAAAAGAAAGGCCGCACCTAAACGATTTGACGTCTCAAAAATTCCAGTTACATATGCTGTTGAAATTAAGAACAGTTTTGAGCTCCTCAGCATGATGCAAAAGGAGCCAAGTGAATTGTGGCATGATATAAAATCAACAATCAATCAAATTGCACTTAAGCATATACCTTATAAAAAACAGGGAAAAAGGAGTGACTGGCTATCGGAAAAAACAATTAAAATTGCTGATGAAAGAAGAGGAGCCAAGGTAATTGGGGACCATGTTGAGGTAAGAATGTTGAATGCAGAATTTCAAAGAGCAGCAAGGAAGGACAAAGAAGAGTAATGGGATCAACAATGCAGAAAATTAGAAGAAGACGGCAAAAAAGAAGGCCATACCAGAAATCTTTTTGCACATGTAAAGAAAGCTCAAATTCCGTTTTCTGGAGGAATAAAAGACAAGAATGGGAAAATCCTGATTGATCAGCAAGGCATCAACTGCAGATGGAAGGAATATGCAGAAGAGCTGTTGGCAGCCAATGATAACGTGGAACCAGTACTTGGGGACCCAGTAGAGTTAGAGCCAGCTATACTTAATGAGGAAGTAGTATGGGCACTGAAAAAGCTACCAAACAACAAAGCTCCTGGAATTGATTATATTCCAGCTGAATTGCTAAGACCCATCCCATCAATAGTGATAAAAGAAATCTGCCAGAAAATCTGGGAGACTCTGAAGTGGCCAAAAGAGTGCAAAAGATCAGTTTTTTATTCCTCTACCAAAGAAAGAGACTGCAACAATTACTGCACAATTGCATTGATTCCTCACATAAGCAAAATCTTGCTAAAAATTATTCAACAGAGCCTAAGACCAGTCATTGAAAGAGAATTACCTGACTCACACAAACTGGTTTCCAAAGAGGTCGAGGTACACGTGATCAGATTGCTAATCTACGTTGGATTATGGAAACATGTAATGAATATCAAAAAAGC